AGTGTGGCCGAACACTGTAGGAGTTATGACGAGCAGTCCAGAAGCAGTGGTTGAGCACTTCAGGTGCTATACAGGGCACTCCAGCGGAAGAAGGAACTCCATCACCCCTGATCGAGTTCGCCTCACCTCCAAGTGACATCACTGAGTTCGTGGACGCCTACCACGAAGGTGAGGAGTTAAGGTTCTACAGGCTGGACGACATCGTCGGCGGCACAGGTCCCTCAGGTCTGGCGGGTAGGCTGCTCAACGACGCAGAGCTGCTACTCGTCAGTGTAGAGGAACCACCCACGTTCACGCTAGCCGAGCGCAATGGAAACTAGCGACGGGCAATGCTGGAGGAGATGAAGGGGATCGAGGAAAACGAGACTTGACAGCTCGTCGATCCACCCCCAGGATGCCGTCCGATCAGCCTGAAGTGGGTGTACAAAGTCAAAAGGGACAAGCTCGGCACCATTGTCAAGTACAAGGCGCGCCTCATCGCCCGAGGCTTTGTCCAGCGCGAGGGCATCGACTTCGAAGAGGTCTTTGCACCAGTAGCGCGCATGGAGTCGGTCCGTTTGCTACTTGCTTTGGCGGTAGCAAAGGACTGGCGCGTCCATCACTTGGACGTTAAATCGGCCTTCCTCAACGGCGAGCTGGCGGAAACGGTCTTTGTCAGGCAACCTCCAGGGTTCGTTGTCAAGGGAGAGGAGCATAGGGTGCTCCGACTACGCAAAGCGCTCTATGGGCTGAGGCAAGCCCCTCGAGCATGGAACGCCAAGCTTGACACCACGCTAGGCGAGCTTGGGTTTTAGAGGTGCACAACCGAGCATGCGCTCTACACGTGACGACGGGGGAAGGAAGAACTCGTGGTCGGCGTGTATGTGGATGACTTAATCGTCACCGGCGCGCGCACGGAGGATATCAACAGCTTCAAGCAAGAGATGGCAGCTCGTTTCTGAATGAGCGATCTCGGCGCTCTCTCCTACTACCTCGGCATCGAGGTGAGACAGGGGAAGGAGGAACTCACGTTCGGGCAAAGCGCGTATGCCTCCAAGCTGTTGGAGAGGAGCGGCATGGTGGAGTGCAAGCCATGCGTGACTCTGATGGAGGAGCGGCTGAAGCTGACGAAGGACAGCACCGCGGCAAAAATAGATGCAACACTCTACCGAGCATCGTCGGTGGTCTGCGCTACCTAGTCCACACATGGCCGGACATTGCGTTCGCCGTGGGCTACGTCAATCGCTTCATGGAGGATCCGAGAGAGAATCACTGGGCTACGGTGAAGCGGCTACTATGCTACGTTAAGGGGACGGTAAATCATGGAATCATCTTCCCAAAGACCAGGGGAAGTAGGCTGCAGCTCATGGTATTCAACAATGCAGACATGCCCGGGGACATCGACGGACGACGGAGCACCTCTGGCGTACTCGTCTTCCTCGGGTCGGCCCCAATTTCATGGCTGTCGCTGAAACAGAAGGTGGTGGCGCTATCTACGTGCGAGGCAGAGTACGTAGCGGCGGCCACAGCGGCGTGTCAAGTTGTGTGGCTACGCCGGCTGTTGGGCGAGCTAACCGGCGTAGAAGCTCACCCACCAGCACTGATGGTGGACATCCAGCCCGCCATCGCCCTCACGAAGAATCCGGTTCTACACGACCAGAGTAAACACATTGATGTGAAATTCCACTTCCTCAGGGACTGTGTTGATGGAGGGCAGATCGTCATCGAGTTTGTCGAAACTAGTCGGCAACTCGCGGACGTCCTCACCAAGCCGCTCGGACGACTTCGACTCATGGAGCTGAAGGAGATGATCGGCATGGAGGGGGTGCAAGGGTTAGCAGTAGGATTAGGGGAAGATTGTTAGCTAATCTACTGCCACCTTATGTGAAACACAGTAGAGGAAGGCGGCGCCGACTTTGCCCCCTGTTGTAATACAAGAGCTGCAGTGTGCAAAGCGCCGATGGCTCACCAAGCAAAGACCTGTGTAGCACATGCAATGGCCGGCGCAGGTCAGCCTCAGATATGCTTATCTAGTTATCTTTATTACAGACATGTGCGTTGTACTTTAGTTAGATAGATAGAGTTGTATAAATAGGGCACCAAGGCAACTCAGTAAAGAGAGCTCAGATTTGCCATCACACAAACAGGGCCTCGGCCAACGTTGTTGTCTTGTATTGTGCGTACTAGCTCTGTTCTCCCTTCTTCTTCTAGCTCAATCCGTAGTGTGTGGGTACGGACACAACCGGTATAGTCGTCTGGGAGACTAGTGGTCTGGTCTGGGAGACTAGTGTGGTCTGGTCTGGGAGACTAGTGGTCTGGAGACTAGTGGTCTAGGAGACTAGTGGTCTGGTCTGGGAGACTAGTGGCCTGTGAGACTAGTGGTCTGAGACTAGTGGTCTGAAGACTAGTTCACTATCGTCAGCCGGTGATCCCGTGGGCCAACAGGCTAGAGATGTTTGGATGGGTTGCGAGAGCTGATGATCATAGATGCCAAGGGCCTATAGGAGCCCATTTGCGAAAAAATGGTGATCTCAAAACTGTTGGTGATCTTGAAAGTGAAGGGGCTCATAAAACTGATAAACTTGTTGCTAATTTAGCTAGCCAGATTTAAGTAAAGAACAGGCATGTGGAAGAACTGAAATCCAAGTACAATCAGATGACCGCATCGCTTGGCATGATGATGGAGCGAAGGAAGAAGATCCTCCAGAAGCATAATGAAGGTTTCTGTTCATCTTTTATTATTTATGTGTTCTGTTAGGTTTTAGTCAGCATAGCTGCATTTCTGTCATCTTAGTGTAAATGGCACTTCCAGTTGTTTAATGGTCTTTTAAACTTTTGGTTTTACCTTAACCAGAAATTCGCAAGATGCACCAAGATTCTCGAAGTCATTCACAGGAGGTCTTTGATGAGAATAAAAAACTCCGCAAAGAGTTGGAGTCCAGGATGCACGAACTTGACTTAAGATCCAAGCATCTTGATGACATAGCGCAAAGTGATTCAGGCATATGGAATCTTCAGGAAGAAAAGGAAAAGGTGTGTACAGGTTTTTACTGTGTTAAAAATTTTGAATTTTTTTAGGGAGTGCATAACAGCATTTCTTCTGTAGTGCCTAGCATTTAATTTATTAGTAGATCATCTACATTTGTTTTCAGATTACAACTGCATATGGCTTAGCGATAAGGGCTAGGGTAAAATGCAGGGAATTTGTAGAGTTTGCTTTGTGTCTTGTTATAGAACAGGAAGGGAATGATTCCCTCTAGTTTCATACAAAGATACAGGTAAAACAACCTACATATGTCTATAGATAGTTACGTGCAAAAAAAAAATGCTACAGATCTGGTGATGATAAGACTATTACTCAACGACACTTCTAGTACGTACCTATCTAGAGAATGCAAAACAGTTGCCCTGTCTTTTTTTTTTGAAATGTATTGCATTGTCTTTTGCAGTTCCATCCAGCACCACATGGTAAACATAGACCTTTCTATTCCAGATCGTCTGAAAACAAAATGATCAAGTTTACCATCTTCACTATACCGGCAACAAGAAATCTTGTGCCTGTCAATTGCTGTATATCTGTTGCACATCAATGTTCATTTTAAATTTTTTCTGTTTTTGAAATAGTTTTCGTGTGTTATTCCAAAAACAAACAGATTAAAAGACACCATTAGATTCAGCCATTATTTTTCTCCACAGACTCACTATATAGCCTAAAGGATAGCACAAATGCCTACACAGGTTGATTATTTCATCATGCAACATTGATACCCTTTCTGTGGTGTACCTTCCTTGTATAAAAGTAGCTGATTTGTCATTTGCTACTTTATGAAACACCTTTAGCAATGTATTTGCTATTGGTTTGGTTATAATTCCATCTATAACTGTTCAATGAACAAATGGGTCTAAATTTCGGTATGGCCTTACCATCCTTAACCTTGGGCACTGTATGACCTTGAAATCATTAATTTGGGCAGTAGATTGATAACACCATTTTATTTTGTTGGATGGCATTCAATGATGCTCGTGATGAGATGTTGGGTGCTATTGTAATTTCCCTGTAGTGTGCTATTCGTACAACTTATGCCTGACTTTTTTGTGGTTGAGCGCAGAACAAAATCAAAACTAAGCATCTTAAGGTGGCAACAAAGGAGCAACGGAAGGCTGATGAGAACGTGCTTAAGCTTGTGGAAGAACACAAGGTTTTGTTCAAGGTCAAATATGTATTGTTTCATGATATTTCTTGAGAAGCTTACATCTATGTGTGTTACTGTGTGGAAATGCAGACGGAGAAACAAGCTGCTCATGAAAGGATTCTCAAGTTACAGCAGGACTTGGATGCCAAACAGAACCTTGAGTTAGAAATACAAACACTGAGAGGAAAACTGGAAGTTATGAAGCATATGCCAGGTCAGCGGGATTCTGAATCAAAGAAGAAGGTGGATAAACTCGCTGAGGAGCTGAAAGATAAGGGCAAGCAATTGGAAGCAATGCAGACTTGGGGTAATACTCTGTATATCGAGGAAAGGAGGAGCAATGATGAAATCCAACATGTTCGGAAGGAGCTGATAGTTGTAAGCTACCACATCATTTGACCAGCTATCCAATATTATGCTCTGTTGTGCTGTCTGAAATCAATGTTGGCACCTTAGGCATCCTTTGCTTTGGCATCATATCTCATGCACATTTTCTTTCCGGTTTGTTGCATGTTTTTCAGGGCTTGGATGCTGGTTCTGGCCAAGCTAATACATGTATAAAGAGAATGGGTGAGCTTGATCTCAAAGCATTCGGAATTGCTTGCAGGAAAAGGGTTATCAGAAGAGGATGCAGTTTCCCTTTGTTCAAAGTTGGATGCTGAAATTAGAAACCCAAACTGATCGCTTACAATTGGTATCCTGCTTCCCTAGTTCTGTCTGTTTATAATTTTTAGTCATCAGTTTCATAATAGTGGGCTTGCAGTTCAGTTTTGCAAGTGGTTACATGATACATGGTAACATCTGTTGATTGGGTATTCTCTGGCTCAGAGAGTTCTTAAAGAGGACGATGAGATGCTCCGGGAGCTGAAAGAAAAACACGGTGAAGAAGTTTATTGGTTGGTAACAAAGGCACTGCTTGAGATGGATGAGTACAATCCCAGTGGCCGCTATCCTGTACCAGAGCTGTGGAACAAGAAGGAGGGCCGGAGAGCAACGTTGAAGGAAGGCGTCCAGTACATCATGAAGCAGTTGAAGACTCGCAAGAGGAAGCATTGAGCCAATTGGTTGGCTGGGTTCGGTTCTGCCTGTGATCTCGTTTCTCCTGAGCTTGGAACATGAACTCGAAATTAGCTCGTCATTTTTAATTAACTCATGATGATGACTGAGTACACTCTATATTCTGCCATTGTGGTCTGTGACTGCTATTAGTCAGTCTGGATTCTCCTGTTGTGGCATGGACTGATGAATGCTGCTATATTTCTGGGATAACCACTTTATGGACAGCTCGTTTCTTAGTTTTGTGGAGTCAAACTAAAACGCAGTTCTTCTGGGTATAAACATGACAACGATATGTATGTACGAAAAGTTCCACACTTAACCTTTAATTCAAATGCAATATCTCCTACAACTATAAAAAACAAAGCGTGGACATCTTTTGATGCGATATTTGTTTTGGTTCGTCCGTCTGTCCACCCCGTGCGATACCCCACACGATAGAAAAAAAGCTGTCATCCATGCGATCCCCGCCTGCTTTGAAAGAAACAAATCGATCATCTGAGGCCACATGCATGGAAAGAAACAATAATCAATGGAAGAAAACAATAATCATGCATGGAAGAAAATAATCATGTATGGAAGGAAACAATAATTATTTACTCTTTTTTCAAATAGTGGTCTTTATTTTGGAGCTCTTCATACAGTTTAATAATGGCTGGGGAGCTAGGTTTACGAGAATTTACTCTTAATTGGGTTGTGAGCTAGGGATGTAGCACTTCAATGGGTGTCTTAGTTGAGTTTTATAATTGCCAAAAATTGATGGTGCTGATAAGATTGATAATCATGTAACTCTGCAGTCCTTTTTTTTTTTCAAAAAAAGAGGGCAAATGCTACTTATGTTCGAATCCATGTTCTTTTTGTTGTTTTGATTTGATGTCCACGGTCCACAACCCACATGTTAACTTTTAGATGTGTTTATAAAGAATCAAAAGGAGTTGACCTAATGCCAATCTTTCTTGTCTTTTTTCATTCTTTATATTTATACTAGTTAGCGTGACCGTGCGTTGCTACGAGATAACTAACAATTTATACTAAAAACACACGGATCGCACGATAAGATAACAATACTGTAAAAATTAAATACCAACGTTAAAGTGACATTTAATCTAAAAAGCAAAGTTTATGAATTTAACACAGTCACGGAGTGCTCGGCGTCGCAGGCTCACAAACTCTACTTTATAGAGCTTTCCGTGATGCGGCTAAAATAATGTTTTATATTGACTGAAAGAAATCTCTGATATCCATTTCTTTCATTGTAATCAATTTATCTGGACAATGTTTGAGGTGAGGGCACGGTTAAAGTTTTTAGTAGCTTTGCGATATTGTCCGAAGCTATGGGATGATTGATGTCTTGCGATGATCCTTTCATTAATTTAGTTTTCTATCTATGTTTAATTGTTTATTCAGTCTATTTTATAGGCACGCCGATAGATAATGGATGACAAAATTTAACCATCCATAATTTATCTCTTTGACTTTGAGCTTGAGTTTTGTTTTTATTTTTTAATTGATATATTATCCTTTTGTTTTTACCGTAGCGTTAGCACGGGCATGCATGAAAAACGAAGATGTTTTTACACTATAAAAATCTTTCAAGAAGATCATGCATAGATTATTCTTGTATTGAATATTATATATATACAATCACCTAAATATTCTAATTAAACTATAAAATTTTGAATTAGGATACGAGGAAACACATGCAAACAGATATTTTAAAACTATCTGTAGAGTCCAAATAACTTAATAAAAAAATCATTCTGAAGGCAATGCAAATTCTCTCTAATCTTTCATTTGGTGTGGTTAGTGTTATCATAGTACCCGCATGTATTCATGGGAAATAAACCGTGGACAAAACGTGGACACTTTTTGATGCGATATTCCAACATGGGTCCATCGTCATGTCAATATCCTTAAGGCATATCATATAAAGAATGAGAGTCCCTATATGAGATTGCTCATAAGAGACTCAAACTTATATCTGATCATTGTAATATTGAATTGCTTTGCATTAAAAGCATCGGCAATGATAAACGGGACATAGGTTTTAGTATGCATAGTGAAGAAAAACTCAACCTTGGCCTTCTCAGCAGCTTTTCTGAGCCTTTGTAGTGCTAACTTGTCCTTACTCAGATAGTCAAGAGATGCACCATAAAATTATGCACCACTAAAAAAAGTGTCACCATTGGTTGTCTTGACCTGAAAAATATGTCGAAATTAAGAATTACAACACCTAATTCAACATCTTGGAACAGATACTCAAGTGGATACTTTATTCTACAATATATGTATGTGTGGAATAATACTAAAGCCACACATATTTATACGGTGAGTATAACATACTTTGTTTTAAAATTTTATGAGAGATTTTTTAAGACACGCAGTATTATCCATGTAACAGGCACTAATATTTACATATATACTCGAACCTGTGTGTACATGATTATATGGAGATGCAGCGGAACTTATTCATTGATTTATTGTCGCATGAAAGAAATGGATATCGGAGAATTCTTTCTGCCTATATAAAATATTATCTTAGCCATATCATGAAAAAAGTCTATACAGTAGAGTTTGTGAGCCTGCGACTCCACGCTCTCCGATATGTTAATTTCACAAACTTTGCTTTTTGAATTAAATGTCACTTTAACGTCGGTATTTAATTTAACAGTATTGTTATCTTATCGTGTGATCCGTGTATTTTTAGTAAAAAATTTAGTTATCCTGTAGCAACGCACGAGCATGCTACCTAGTTCATATGAAACAAACCTCCATCCAAAAGCAATATTCATATAAACAATATTATATACATTTTAAATTATCTATCTAATCATTGACTCGTTTTCTCCTTTTCCTTTTTTCATTGCCAGCAACGTACTTTTTTTTTTTTTCTCCTTTTTTTTTTTTTTTTTTTTTTTTTACAGTCAGAAGCATACTTTCTTGATTACGTGATAGTGTTGAAAATTAGAGAAATGATTATTAGTAAGTAGAAGTAACATATAGAAAACAAGATAATATAATATTTTAGACTTATTTTGGCCTGTCTTGTTATCTCATGATTGCAACTTGTTTTTTTGAAAGATCTGGAACCATCAAAGATTCTACCGTGTATATATATTAATTAAAAAAAAAATTAACCTAGTTTATAAGGGAAACCGAACCCAAGAACCATACAACAAAGGACCAACCACGAGACAAAAGCCTCCTCAAAACACCAAACAGCTACCACACTAAAGATCCTTGTTCCGTCCACTATCCACGACTAACCACAACTATGAGTCATCGTTGCCTAGCTTGTTGACACCTCAACACAGCAGCTTTGACTTCTCAACAAGATGTAATTAGATGCCACCACCGGTCGAGGAACTAAGCACGGTGCAAGATTTCCAAGATTATGCCTTCAAGAAGGTTATGACACTAATGACGCTGCCATCGCCAGCCCACAAATAGGCTAGGTTTTCACCTATGGAAACCCAGCAGGGTTGGGCCTGTAGGGTGGACGCCTCCAAGGAGGAAGCAGCGCCCACAGGCGTCGCCGCCGTCCGAGTTTTCGCCCTGATTGCAACTTGTAATGAGTAATGACTAATGAAGTAACGGGTAAAAAGTATCAAAACGAGAATTAGTACTCAGGCCAATGGACAACAATGTGTTAAACAATTCACAAAAATCATAATGTAGAACCAAACTCTCATACGGCTACACCTAACATATATATGCATTCTCAATTAACAATTTAGAATTGCAATAGGTGAAAGGAACGTACGGTGGACATAGATGGATACATGGGCAACAAATTGTTGATCTTGCTCCACAATTTTTGCCCTTGTGAGCAAAAGAAGGGTAAACAAGAGTATTTTGAGGATGGCCCTCATGAATCATGCATGTTGGACTTTTGATATCAAGAGAAGTATTTATTGTGTCTAATATTCCCGATTTTTGGGAACTGTGGAATAATCTTTGCATTGCATAGAGCGAGGATTCTTATATCTGGCGCCTTTCAACCTCTGGATAGTACTCAACAAAATCCGCGTATATGGGAATGTATTTGGAAAGCATGGGTGAAAGCATATAGACCCCTAATTCAGTTTTAACGATTAATGATGATACAATCATTGTAACTTTACAACAACATTTCTTAGTGAGGTCACAATGATGATGATTGATTGGGAATTATGGTTTTCATGCCCCTATTCATGGATTTCAATAGATTTTCAAAGGATATGCATCAAGGTTAAGGATGGACTAATTATAAGTGTCGTTTGACGCTGAGAGAAACTTAGAGTGGTTTATGTTCTTATTTTTTTCCTTTAGTCGTATTATAAAGGGATATGAACGAATAGCTTGACCTATGTAAATTTAGAGAGCTGATGTAATGCATACTTGTGAAAGTTAGCACTAGGTAGTTCAAATGAAGCCCAAGAATGGATGAAACCCAAATCTAAACTCAAAGTGTTTGAATTGGATGAGTTTGGGCACATTTTATAAGCATTAGATTTATCCGGTGTGGGCACTGGAGGAATAGAATAGAGCCTACCTAGGGTTTGCTTTGATAACACCACTCTATACTTCCGATATGTACGAGAGAAAGAAAACAGAGAGTGTGCACAGCGGTTCAAGAGGTCCTTAAGGCACCGGATCTCTCCGATGGTCACCGGTTAATAAAAACAAAAAGCATGTGTTTTTGGGTGCATCTTCGCTCAGTGCTCGTCGAATTTCTCCGGTGCTGCACCAGAGAAACTGTATAGTAATGACAAGTTGGTTGTTTGAGTCTGCGGAAGGGCACTAGATTTCTCCGGTGTTGCACAAGAAAACACACCGGAGAATTCCGCTATGTGGTTTTTCAGTTGAGTGGATTTCAAACATGTAGTTTTTAGTTGGTGGCCCATAGTACACCCTCCACTCATGCATTGAGGCTCTCTTAGACATATGAGTAGTGAGCTACACACATTGGCATCCAAGAGAGGGTTTAGGCCTATTGGAGTGTTTTGGATTTCATAACCGAAGATTAAGGACTCCATCAGTGCTTTGAGAGTATCAAGTGCCCATTCACTCATAACTCATCTCATTAGGCTTGGTTAGGTCAAGTGAGAGTTTGTGCTTGTTACTCTTGGTGATCAACATCACTTAGATAACTTAGCAGTGTTAAGGAGCTTAGTGATCTCTTAGTGGCAATTATGGGATGCCCAAGTTGTTGTACACGACACCGATAATCCATTTTCTGGAGCGGAGAAGGATTAACCACTAGAGAGCACTTGATCCTTGTGCGGATCAAGAGGGCGGTACTCCTGCATAGGTACTCCAACAAGGAGTAGTGTATGGTGTCGATTCTTTGATACCTCAAAAAAACATCGCCGACAGAAAAGATACGGCGGCCAGCGGCCAGACGTAGTAGTCGAAGTTAACACCACACACCAAAATTGTTGGACAAAGTTAACGCACAACACAGGTCGTGCGATCGCGAATCGCGACCCCTCCTACTGCTGCCTCCCACCACCACTTGCTTTCTGCCTTGCCGCACCTCCCAACACAACCCCCATTCTTCACTAATCTATCCTCTTCATCAACCGGTCGCCTATGAGCCTCCCCTACACCTGCTCCACAGCCTCACCACCCCGCCCATCCACTGTCACCTACCACCGGGCCATCCTACCACTAGGCTCTAGGGTTGAGGGAGGCATCAAACCTTAACCTGCCTCTGGCGATGACAAAGCACCGACGCAGATTTTGCTAAATTGTATATCCTGTTATTCTAGAACATGTGTATTTGGAATCAGACAAAGTTTTCTGGGCAACAAATTAGAAGAGGTTCTTTTTAGCAAACGGATTAGATAGAGGTAGAATATATACTTTGTTTTGAGGATATAAATATATACTTTTCTTTCTTTTTTGAGCAAAATATACTTTTCTTTTTTCTAAGCTGGTCTGCTGATTCCTCACACAAGCCCAAGCTCAGCCCATGATTTCTTTCTTAGCCCGTCTTTGCCATTTAAAGCACCCCTGTTTTGTCACGCGCACCTCGCAAAAACCTCCCCTGCCGCCGCCGCCGCCATGGAGAGTGCGCCGCAAACCCCCACCACGGCGGCCGCCGGCGATGTTCTTCGCGTGGCCGACCTCCCGGGGCGCGGTCGCGGTCTCGTGGCCGCCCGCAACGTCCGCGAGGGTGAGGTGCTCCTCTCCGAGCCTCCCGTCCTCCTCTACCCGTCCACCCTCTCCTCTCTCGCCTCCTACTGCTCCGCCTGCTTCCGCTCCCTCCCCGCCGCCGCCACGACTCCCTGCGCTTCCTGCCGCGCCGCCGCCTTCTGCTTCCCGGCCTGCGCCGCCGCTTCGCACCCGCGCCTCCTCTGCGCCGCGCTCTCCCACGGCGGCGGCGCTGCCCTCGCCGCCGCCGCCCCCACCGAGGCGATCCAAGAGCCACTCCTCTTCCTCCTCTCCGCCTACTCCCTCCCGGAGCCCACCCTCCGCTCCATCCTCTCCCTCTCCTCGGCGCCGCCTCCGCCCCCGGGCGCGCAGGACGCCGCGGGGCTCCACGCTGCGGTGGCGGCCCTAGCACCGCCGCACATGCTTCCCCGGGGCTTCTCGGCAGACCTAACGGCGGCGCTCCTCGCCAAGGACCGGGGCAACAGCTTCGCTATCATGGAGCCTTACCGCACTGGGATGTCGCTCGAGCTCCTGAAGGCGCGGGCCTACGCGGTGTACCCCCGTGCTTCGCTGTTCAACCATGACTGCCTGCCCAATGCGTGCCATTTCGATTACCCCGACAGGCCTGGGCCAGGGAACACTGACATTGTGGTGCGTGCACTCCATGACATACCTGAGGGGAGGGAGGTCTGCATCAGCTACTTTGCGGCCAATTGGAGGTATGCTGATAGGCAGCGCAGGCTGCTGGAGGATTATGGGTTCCGGTGTGAGTGTGATCGCTGTCAGGTGGAGAGCCAGTGGAAGGATGATGATGATGATAACAATGGAGATGATGGGGATGACACCATGGAAGAGGAGGGTGAGGACGATGCTGGAGATAGAGGTGATGATGGGATGGAGGAGGAAGAGGGGGATGATGCTACCGATGGGGATGATGATTTCCCACATGCCTACTTCTTTGTCAGGTACTTATGTGACAATGAGGGTTGCTGGGGTATGCTTGCTCCATTGCCACCGTCACCGAATGGGGACCTGTCCCATGTGTTTGAATGCAATCTCTGTGGGAAGCTAAGGAAGGAAGAGGATGCCATGCCTGATGAGGGCACTTCTGGCATGGTCCATTAGGATGATGATGAAAACATACTGATCTGTGTGCTGCTTCTTTTAGTGGGTAAGAATTTGCTACGCTCCTCTGTTTTACTGTTCTTGGGCATGCTAGTTCACTTCTCTAGTAATATTTCTGAAGCTGAGTAAAATTATTGATGCTCTATTATTTGATTTAATATTTTACACAGTTAAAGAAAATAATGTTCAGTTGGGAATATTCTGATGTAGAGCATGTATGGAAGGATTTGATTAGGTTGCTGTTTTAATCATGTTATCAATAACCTACTATCTCAATTTTGTTTTTATTTGGTAATTTGCACATTGTTGGATGTAGATTTTTTTTGTGGTTTCTCTTAATTACCTGGTTGAATTCAGGAAAGGGGGATAATGTCAGTACTCTGGAGTTAAGTTATACTAATAACTGGCACTTCTTTTCTTTAGAATAATGAAATGTGTCATTTGACCTTTGAAACTTACCCTTCAGAATATACTCTTACTTGTTGAATCCTCTGATTATGATTATTCCCTTGGATCGAAATTATTGTCATGTGGATGTTGATTACTCTCACTTTGCGATCCAATATTTTTTGTTAGCAAGTAAAATAAGTCACCACCATCAGCCCTTTGCTATCATTGTTCACTTGTTTGTGCTACCGCTTCCAGTTTGCGTATTTGTACGAGTAGGCTATTGACGTAATGTTGTTTGTAAATTTAAGCCACATAGTCTTCTGCTTTTAGATTGTTAGTTTTGCCATTCACTTTGTGCCTCAGATCATTCTGTGCGAAGTTTTCCTCATGTGAGCAATCTTTTTACTGGAGTGTGTAGATTACATTGCTTTTATAGGAGGCTACCCAGGGTTAAGGTTGAAAAGTGATTTGACATTGCATGAATAAACCACCAGCACCAGCATGTTAGAAACAAAAGACATTAGCCATAGAATCTTTAGCCTAATTAACATGAACACTACTCTCTCCGTTCCAAATTGTAAGTCATTTTGGTTTTTCTAGGTACATAGCTTTATGTACCTAGATATATGCTATGTCTAAGATACATAGTAAAACTATGTATGTAGAAAAGCCAAAACGTCAATTTGGAACAGAGGGAGTACTAAATTAAGGTGGACTAGCAGTCTAGCACCACTAATTGTGCCATGGGGGTAGATGTCCGTTCAATTATAGGCGAGTCATAGTAGTTAATAAAGGGCTAAAAGGACTATAAACGTCCACTCATGTCACAATAAAGGGACCATATATGTCAAAGCTAATTATTTTGTAGCAGTCAGGAACTCTACAAAGCTTCCCTCTCACTTATCTGACACAATTTCCCTTTATACAAAGGTAGGAGTTAGAGAAGTGTGTGGTTTAAATCTACTAACTGAAGTATCCCAGCTCTAACATGACGCTCCATTCTCCCCTTCAAAATGTGGCTTAACTAGTCATGCGACAATTTTGAGTAAAGTCTTATTGGTTATACTTGACTTACATTTTTTTGTTGTTAACATAGCACAGATCTATCACAATAGAATCATTCATGCAGAGGCAATATGTAAAGAATGCCCTGCTTAATAAGTAGGACAAATAATGCTATTATTACATTCAATCAAATATATATAGTTCCCAAAAGGTATAATAAGCCATAATCAACTAATAAAGAAACTAGAGTAATGTTCATCGCATGTTGGGGACATATATTACATGATTTGATCTAAAACAATCGTCAAGGGCATGTTTGGTTGATATCCACATCTGGCCAAACCTAACCTTAGGCAAAGTGTGGCTAGCCAAAAGTGTGGTGATAAAAAAGTTCGCCACACTTTTGGCAAAGTTTGGCAAGAAATTATGTCTGACACCTGGGGTATAGGACTAAGAAAGTTTGGCAAGCCGCTGTTGTGGCATTGAACTAAACACCCACTTAACAAACTTTGGTTTGCTTAAGGTGTGGCGTGACAACCTGTGGCTATCAACCAAACATGCCCTAACTAATAGCAATAGGGGAAGTGTTGAGGTCTTCATCATCATGCTCATGTCCATTGGACACTTCTAAGTTTGCACTCCCCCATTGCATCATCCACATAGTAAACAATCCCTGTGAAGAATTAATAATGTGTCTAATGGCACATAAGTTAACCCTCCAAGTTTTAACATAAAGGGACTCATTAATTAGAATTACACTATTATTACCCTTCTTGGCGAGCTAGCCCTTGAATGCATCACATTCCCTATGCATATGCCCATCTTTCTTGCAGAAACGACATTTTGATCCATTTTGGTTAGTTTCATGCTTGACAATCAGCTATGTTCCATTTTCAAGGAAAAATGACTACATTATATATTTACATTGATTGCGAACAGAATCGGAACAAAATATTTGTGTCACTGATTTTTTTTTCTGATATGCAAATCATTTAATGGCAGAACACTTGGTGAAGGAAGCCTGGCAATTCCTTCCCCTTTCTGAGCTGTTTGGCAGAAAGCGAATGGGTTCGGTTCTTCTGAAGGCAGGAAATGTTCATGTAATACCATGTAGGCAAAACCTTAGCTTGTAGCCTTGTACTGTGTTTGGGAATCCTCTTGGGCTGTAGAATTTCTCGTGATTCAAATATGGGAAGGACATGGACTTGGACAGGTGACTCTGAGTTCGCCATTACGGTATGTTAATCAGTTTTGCCTATTTTGTCTGAACATAGCCGCTCTGAAGCCCGGCGTAAAGGACGGTGGTGCGATAGGCCAGGCGAATTAGCACTTGCAGCCACAGATTACACACAGCGGTCGAGTGGTCTTAAGCACCTTCCTGCAGGCGGACCCCCTGCAGGCTGCAGCCATCGCACTGGTCACACCCTTAGGGCTTCGCCGTTGCACTGGTCACACCCTTAGGGCTTCCCCAAAGCTCTTTTTTTTTGTTTTTTCACTTGAGCCCAGTGTCACGTAGGATTGGATAAAAAAGTAGGTGACTTGTAGAAGCTAGGTATGCTTAGGGAGAGAGAAGGTGGTTCATGGTAAAAAAAAAGAAGAGGGGGAGGAAATAAAGATGAGGTATGATAGAAGGAAAAAGTTTCTTTGCAAACCATAAGTAGTAATAGTTTATATTGTGTGAATAGTAGTCTTAATATTTTTTAGTCCATATAGATCATTTTATTTGTACTAGGATCACTATCACTAGTGTTAGCCTCTATCGATGGTGTCCTTAGCGGTTTAGCCATGAAAGAGGTAGGCTAATTTGTGAGAAAAGAGAAGCAGGAAGCAGGGCAGGATTTCTTTTCTTCCCTGAGAATATTGGTTACTTTTGGGAGAACTGATGGCTGACGTATCACTAACCTTTTATTAGGGGGTGTCCGTACTCTGGAGGAATTATAACCTTTGATTTTGATGTTTGTTTGCCCCCAAAGGTCATAGATTCAAAAAAAAAAAGTATTGGTCATTTGTGTTCAACTTTTTTTTTTGAGCGCTTACAGTTGAGAGGAAAAAGACATTTATAATGCAAGATGTTTAACGATGAATGTTTAAAGAGATATTGATGCTATCTCATTGAGCACATAAAAGTCTGCTTGATAAGCTTAGCATACTACCTTTGTTTTGAGAGAAGGGAAAGCAGGAGCCTTTCTTGTGCGCATGATTAGTCACAGCCGGGAGCATCGATAGCCTCAGATTAGAGCATCTCCGGCATGACCAGCTAAAACAGAATATATAAGACTATCTCCAACACGGTATCTATAAGGCTATCCAAATCCAAAATAGGTCTTTGATGATAGTATTTTGATCTTCAATAGAGTACCTATACAGGAGATCTATTTTAGGGCAGGAGGAGAGGCACAACCAAAATATGAGCATCCTCTCTCCTGAAAACCCATTTTGCAATCCTCTCTCCTGAAAACTCATTTTGCAAAAATAATTCTCTTTTGGGTCTTGCTGTTGGAGAAAACTAAAAATGAGTATTGAACTCTTTACTTGTAGCGCTACCCAAACGTCGAATGGGTCTTTTATATTGCGTGCAATTGTTGGAGATAGTCTAAAACTCTATTTGGGTAGCCATCTATTTTTATACTACCCAAATTTTGCTCCCAACTCCAGCAATACTACCTAATGCTGGCTACCCAAACTCATCCTGACAGAGAATGACATATGGGTCCCACATGTCATCCTCTCTTCTGTCTTCTCCTACACATCCAGTGCTGCCGGAGGGGAACGGGAGAGCAAGGGAGGGGCCGTTCGCCGAAGGGCCGCTACATACAGTGCTCTTATAGGCCGGTGGAGGCGCATCTACCGTCATGGAGGTCGGATCCGCCCTCATCGACCGGAGCAGAGCAGTGCCGGCCCTAGGGGTAGGCCACGAGGTGCAACGGCCGAGGGCTCAAGCCCAGGTATACAAACCCTTAGGTCCTATAGTCTATTAGGCATTAGCAAACTAATGAGAAGAGAGACATAGAACTGGTCAGACGGCCCAAAAAGACAACATCGGTATTTCTTTGCTAGTTTCATTTCCCCACGACCCTCGGGTAAAGAGGAGGTGAGGAGTCACGCTGCACATAGCACACTCTGATCATGAGTTTGCAATGTGCGCCTTACACACGCGGAGCTGGCGAGCCGCGTCGCCGCGAAAAGCTAGACTACCGGAGACACGACGCACGAGGACGGCGACCAGGCAGGGCTCCACGACGACGACATCTTGATTCTTGGCTTCTTACGAATTGCGATCACCGATCAGTTATTTAGGGCCAAGGTTTTTTTTTCTTTTTATTTTTAATCCAAATTAATTATTTGTATAGTATTCCAGACTTCTAATACTTTGTACCCATATAGTCATATTTTTCTTCTAATTTAGGTGTTAGAATTTTAGAATATTATCTAAGAAACATTTGTTATGGGTGAGAAAAAAATAAATATATTATTTTTTTAATCTTCATTGTTCCTCGATAATTATCATACATCTACAAATATATTGCTTAATCTACATTGTTCCTCGATAATTATCAGACATGTTAAATTAAAAATATATTATTGAATTTGCTTTCATTTTGCAA